GACCAATATAATAGAAACGTAGAAAATATTACAAACAAAAGTGTATGTAATATTTTATAAATATAGTACCTAAATACTTATAAAGACAAAGAATGTTCTGTAATTTTAATAATTTTAAATAATTATACAATTTATGAAATAACATGGAATAATTTTTTTGTTATATTTATAGAATAGTACACGTATAATAATAGTTCTAACTAAAACACACTGCAAAATTGTCAAAATCTCGATTCTACTAAGTAGTCGTGTTTAAAATACTTGTTCAGAAACAATATTTATTATGATATATACGTAATATACAAAAATCAATGTAATCAAAGTAATCAGTTGTCCGATTAATTTTAGTGTTTTTGAAGTTGTCATTTGTAACCGGTTATGCACAAACTTCAATGGTTTTTTTTTATTCAAAATTCTCGTGTATAGTAATAGTAAAATGAAACATTTAGTCTTTAAATGGAATTTTTAACACGAATAAGTTCTCTCTAGCACATAGGCAATACTCGTATACAACACGGATTATTATTTTATGATGTGAATTTATTTTTGTAAATACTACTGCAACAACGACGACGACAAAAAAATTATCGGTTCGCAGTCTGCGGATTAAATGTTTTCGATCAGTCGCTATTTTTAATTAAGATAATGACGTACAAACATCAATGTGGTAACATAACATACATTATATAGAACATCATGGTTTTAAAATGAATGCACCAATGCTAAACTTTATGTTGTATAACTTTAAATACAATATTTAAAAATAAGGTGAAAAAGTAACTGGAAACTTGCTCCATAAGATAACTCGCGGTAACTATACATTAATATTACTGGACGTACAATCGTATAGAAATTAAAAATGACTTTTATGGCGAAAATGAAAAAAATAATATACATTTTCCACCTAAACGTATTATTATGTACACGAGTAGACGTCGTTGACATATCACGGTGATATGGACATCGTATTAAAACCGAAACGAGAATAAACCCTTGATCCTCAGGACCACTGACTAAATTCCGAAATTCTATACGAAAATCGACTGTCTAGGGAGTATTTTAAAAACGAGCAGAAAATCGCTTAAGGTTCACGGATACAATCGACTCAATGATGCATTCTCTCATATAGTAATGCGCTTGGTGCAAGTGGTGCGTTTGTGCAATAATTATATTAAGAGTAACGTTCAACCCGATAGTAGAATAAAACGAAGAAAAAACCAGTTTACGGCGCGGACAATGACAAAGATGATAGGGTTTTTTGTTCATCTTCCGTTAAAAAAAAACTGAAAGTTACTATCGGAGTGCTCGGTAGACACGAGGGGAAGGAAGAAGAAAAATAAATCGTTCGTTCGCGTTTCCATCGTTTTTCGATTTTGCTACGCAGGCACCAAAGAAATACTCGTATTTTTAATTATTTTTTGTTCTACTTCAACACCGATATAAGCGCGCACTACGAGTAATAAATATTTTCGATACATAGTCGGAAAGAAGTATAAAAAAAAGAAAAAGAAAAAATCAAAACTATTATCTTTTGGAACCTACTATTATTATGGTAGGTGGGCGTGTCCTAGAGAAGAAAAAAATACCGAGGAAGTGAACACACACACACAAGGGGGTGGGAGGGCACCGCACTTTGTGTGCGAGTTCACCTTGGCGCGTTTCGGACGTAAGCAAAGGAGGGGAATATCACGAGGCATCGGACGGCCGTGATCTCGAGTAGATTAACATTAAAGCACCCCACGCCCCACCCGAAGCGCAGACGCGGTGGAGGAGATTCCCGCGGTCCCGGGAGAGGAATCGCCATCGCCGCGCATAATGACCGCCGTCCGTCGTACAGTAAATTACACCGAGCGCGTACGCTGTACACACACGCGTGCGCGCGCGCGCATAACGTGAATATACCTGTGAATGTGTGCGGACACAAATTACCAGTTACCCGGTAATGGTAGGATCATGAGCCAGAGGAGGTTACCGCCGTTCGCGGCGGAGGTGGACGAGGACACGCCGCGGCAACAATCACGACAGCAACGACCGACCGTACGATTTCGGTTCGTGCACCGTCGTTACCGGACTGCATACCATGTTTTGAGCCGAGAAATCCTGATAGGACCAAGGTGGCGGTACACAATCCGCCTCGCGCGCATTCGTGTGTGTTCGCGGACGATGATTTCATTTTGAATTCTACAAATTACACGTTCCGGACGAACCGGAGTCGATGATCGCCGGGCATTGCGGAGAAATTTATATAATAAGATAAAACCCCAAGACACGTGCACGATTTGATTTTACGATAGGCCCCCGCTAAGCTTTCTTGTTCAATTTATAACTTGCAACTCCACACGTCCCCCCTCCCGGGGGGGATTTCGTATATATATATTATGGTAACTAAAATTTTTTTTTAATATTATCGTTTTTTATTTTTTTCGACCAAACCCGTATGGTCGTGAACTGCGACCAAGAGTTGCGTGCAATACTATTCAATACGAGTGCGTGTGATCCTGACTATCCGACCTACCAGTGTCCCTCCTCAGCGTAGCGTGTACTGGACCCTAAGTTATTGCGTCGTTTTCAAACATCTAGGCGCACGGCAGCTGCTCCGCCGAATCGTATTATTATTTAATGAACCCAATCATACTTCACTCTACTACTCTATACTAGCTTTATAATATATATATATATATAAACACGCATTTATTCTTATAGGAGACTGTATCACATATACGAGGATTGTATATATTTTACGACATTTCACTTTATCGGTAAACCAGCTATTACCACTGTGCACTGCACGGGGATAGCGTTCAATATTTAATTACATCGCTCGATCAAGTAATTACAATTTTATGGCAACGAAAGCACGAATATTATTAAAGGTGTGAAATTTCGAACTGTTACGGGTTGCGCGGACTACACACAGCGGAGCGACTAAATATTAAATATATGGTTTTAATGTTTCTCGAACGTCGAAAGTATTTATGGATATAGACAGCACAAATAACAACGTGATATTAATTACGAAGTGTATTCAATCGATAAATGAATATCGATCACGCGTACAATGGTTTTCTTTAAAATACAATAAATCAAAAAGAAAGAAAAAAAATCAGAAAAAAAAGGTGGACACGTACGTGACAGCCTAGTATTAACGAGCTTTTTCATCGTTTACGCGCTCATTATTACAGCCTTGAACGTTTTAGAAATGAATTTGAAAAGAACACATTATGTGTTTTTATTTTTTTTCCCGACCAATGCGAATTGTCTGTGATTGGATTTAAAAACTTACTACACCTATTCTATAATTATTATTTGAACATACGTGTTCAGTCACCAAGAGAACACACCGTACACACGTATGTAAATCATAAAAAAATAAAACACGAATAAACGGTTGAGATCTAACCGTTTTCGCAAATGCACTCATACTTGTACGTTGCACAATGCAGGAATTCCGGCGTGATAAAAAATGTACGACAACATCGAGCGGCATACCGATTCTTACAATTCTACCGCGAACACGGAGTTCATGGGATTATTGAAAATACAAAATTCATGAATATCAGGCAGTGCGCTTAAGTGTTGCCGTAGTTTTATCAAAATGTTAAGCTCCGGGGTACGGAGTGAGGAAGAAGAGAGGGAAGGAGGACCGTGAACGAGCGAAAAACAAATCGAAAAAAAAAACGAAGAGAGAAACGGAGAGAACACGGGACGAGGGAGGAAAAAAACTAAATAATAATCGCACCGCGAGTAAATATTTACGAATTTGAAGTAGAGAAGGATTTTCTCGTCAATCATCCGACGAGAATATAATACATCCGACAGTTTCCAAGAAAAACACAAACGTACACGAACTACAAACAAATTGAAATTCATCACGGTTTAAAACACGTTTATGCGATTTTCAATAATCGAACGCGGTTCTCGGTGCGCGAAACGGGTTGGGAAGATTTGTGTCCATCGATGAAGACCAACGGAGGAAAACGCGCGTACGTGAAAACCGACCAAAAAAAACGTGACTCTCTTCACGTTCGGCACGCGGAACATTACAATACACGCGCACCTATATATAGCCGTAGACACGCGTGTTTAAGACAAAAACGTGAAACGCTGCGCGCACAACGTATCGTATTATTATAATAATGCAACATGTCGCGTATTGTAATACAGGTGGTGGGAACACGTCACTATTTATTACTATCACTTGTGATTATAATATCATAGCGATTGGTAGTGATTATGAATATGATATTTATACAATAATGATATGACGACGAAATGTAAACCGCATAATATATTATTATAAAACCGACATAAACTATAAATGATATATGGTACGCATCGGAAGAAAATACTCGAGTAAAATCCGAAGCGATGTAATAAATGTTCGACACGTCAAGAACAAGATCTGGTTTCAAATGTTGTTAACAATTATACTGGGATACACCGCCACAAACGTGAATTAAAGAAAATCGATTGGTAAAAACGAACAGATTGATGATCGTTTCGTCTAAAATTGTTTTATAAAGTGGTTACGTACTGCTGCGGAAGGGAATGTCGATTTGTGCATTACGATTAACCGAAAAACTTTTGATAATAATCTTGTATAAACTAATTTTGAAATAGATACAATCAAATAATTGGAAACAGTCTACGACTGTTCATCATACGCGAATAATTGATTTTATAATGAACAATAATGGAAGAAAAACAATTACCAAGCGCATACAAACACTTTTCTACCGAACGTACTCGACCGTTCGTGAACGTAATGTTTGGTCTATCGTACCGCTACAATAGTAGTATTTCACGAGAGTGAACGCTACGGGTAGGCACGGCCAAGAACCCGGCAAGACCGCGAGGGCAGACGACACTGGTAACAGGTTCGGCGTGCCAGGAGGATTAGAGCAATTGTTCGTGCGCACGCACAGCAACACGGACGTGCCGGTCGGAGGGCCGTAGCGGCGGGCACGGGTTGCGTTATTACGTTGCGGGGATGGACTCACCATTTCCACGTCGTCCTGCACGGCGGCGGAAGCCGCTGCCGGCGTGGCGATGGTCGCTGTCGGAGGAGCCGTCGTGATGGATTCTAAGTACAGAGGCTGCTGCGGATGGTGTTGTTGCTGCTGCGGCTGATACGCACCGGCCAAGTGGTACAGGCCAACGTGCTGCGGGGGCGTCTTCGGTTGCGGCGTCACGGCAACGGCCAACTGATACTGTTGCAACGACGGTGGCGGCGGTGGCTGCTGCTGCTGCGACGGCGGCGGTTGCGGCTGGTATACGTGGTGGTATGCAGCTGTGGCGGCAGCGACGGTGGTGGCAGCGGCGGCGGCGGCGGCGGCGGCGGCGGCGGGCGAGCAACAGTGCGCGCAACAAGTCCGCAACGGTGGCGGCTGTTGCTCTCCGGCTACGTGCAGTGCCCCCGGGTACGTGTAGCAGTACGTGATGGCTGTTGGCGCGGTGACCGTGGCCCGCCGGGCTGCAAACAAGTCGACGGCGCGGTAACGACGCGACTACGACAATGGTAACGCAACAACAGGACCCGAAGTTCGCATCGGCCGTTGCTGCTGATACTCTTGCGGTAATCGGCGGCTCTCTACGGGGTGTTCGTTGCTAGGAGCTGCGATGGTTTCTATATGGTCAACGCACTCGTGATGTTTACGGTCGGTTTGAATTGTTGTATCGCTATCGAACGTTGCCGGTTTCTTTAGCCCGCGCTGATATTTTCAACGGCGGCAGACGAGAAGCAAGCGATTACGTTAAGCGTGGGGCGCGCGCGTGGAGGAGAAAAACGAGAAACGAGAAACAGAGGGGAACGAGAAAAAAAAAAGACGAAAAAGAGAAAATAGTGTGCGCGCGTTGGTGTGTGGCGGAGAAGACACCCGGTACTGATGCGGACTCTGATCGCACTGGTCGCGGCGGCGGTAGCGGTGGCAGCCCGAAGGGGTCCGGTGTGTATGTACGTGCGTGCGTGCGTACGCGTGTAGAGTACCGCGGCGGCGTCGGTGGCGCGCCGCGACCTGTGCGCATGCGCAGCCTAAAGCACAGGTACGCCCATCGGCGCGGTGCTCCCTCTCACTACACCTATGCCTCCCGCGAACCTATTCTCCGCATTGTCAAGTACGCGCACTACGTACACTCCGCCGCCGTACACCCACCTGGTGATTCCACACAAAATCGTAGCGCAAAAGTGTACGCGCGCGCGAGCGTGTGTGTGAAGTAAATGTGTTAATGAAACGTGCGGTGTATGGGTGACAATACAATCAGTACTCACGTACGTGTGTGCGTGTGCTGCGTACACTATAGTAATTATCGAACAAAATAAATGCGCTCGCGATTAATATGATATTAAAAAAAAAAAAAAAATATTAAGAAAAAAACCGTATTAAACGCATGAACTTTATTTCGCCGCCGCCGGAACGCAGCACGAAAACGATTACTCGTGCCCCCCGCCGCCGTCATCCGCCGCGACAAATCACCCGACTAAACGTGCACGACAAACGCCGATAACGTCGAAAAAAAAGAGGGCAGGGACAAAAATAATAAGTATTGTTAGGAAATGTTCGCGGATCTTCCGAAAAAGCATCGTAACAGAAAATATTTTTCCCTTTATATTTATAAGTGTTTTTCTATTCAAACTTTTTTTATTGAAGTTTGATATATTTGCGTTTCCTTCCAGTTCGCACTACACGATGTCGTGTTTTTTTCGTGCATGTACAACAAGTATTTTCATGATTTTAGCTTTTAAACAAATGACAATTTCTTTTTTCACACGAAAGTGTCTTTTAACATCATGTATATTTATATATATATATATACACGCATATACATACACATATAGCAGCAATGCGACGGAAAATAATCCAATGCAATGGACTTGCACGACTAAAGTATCGGGATTTGAAAAATAAATGAAATAAAATTGTTACGCGGAAGTAGCCGCAATGCGTATATTCAACAAATACGCATCCTACAGGTTGGATCAACAAACGGTTGTTGTAGCTGAGGCATATGTAACCCGTTCGCATGTCGATTATTCAATTTTACATACACACACCTTTTTCCTCCGCTTTATCGTATTATAATAATTTTTACAGACTGTATAAGATGAATACTAGGTACATTTCTGTTTTTTAGAATAATGAAAACAACTCATGCGATTCCAATAGTTGTCGCTGAATATAAACAGACTTCTAGGCAATTCGATTGCATTTCTACATGATATTTTTTATCATAGTGTTTTAAACTAAAACCATTTTTTAATCTATCGAATAACACCCATTTCATAACCCGAGGTTATTGGTAATACTATATGCATCAGAGAATTTAGATATCAATCCTGGACTATATCAATAGTTGGTCACATTTTATAAATTATATATATGTTACAGACAAAGTGGAAAATTCGGACATTGTATACAATGCCCGGGCATACATTTTATTTATTTTCCACATTTTATTTAAAATGGAAAAATTCACATTTTTTTCATTTAACACAATATTCAATTTTGCATTAAATTTTTCCATTTTAAATAAAATGTAGAAAATAAATAAATGTTTGTTTAAGCACTGCACAATATAAACTGAGTGACAGTATACTACAGCTCAAGTAAAACTACGTACCAAAATTATATGAGATAAGATATTTATCGGTTTCGTTACCGGGATATATAGTGCATTCACAAAATGTCATTAGTGTTTAACCAAAGGATAGACTATTTATACATTATAAGAAAAAAAATAATATTATGTTATATTGATGATTATTAATTATATATAATAATGTAATATTAATAATTTGCAATAAAAACATAATATATTATGCAGATTATTTTGTATAAATACTTCACAATTTACGTTGCCCAATATTTTTTGTCTGCTGAACAAAAGTTGGACTAACCTTATATATAGTAGCATCAACTTGTGTCGGTTTTTACGATTATCAAAAAAAAAAGAAAAAAAAAAATTAGAATTGCTTAAGTACAAAGTCCAATGAACTACTTCAGCAGCATTACGATAGTTTGATACAAGGAGATCGACCACTGGAATGGCCACAAGTGTATTAACATGGGCCGACAAGTTGAACATCAGAAGTTCATAGTATAATAGGGTATGTTGTAAGGTGTCTAGAATAATAAGAACCATATACATGTATAAATAATTTTTCAAAGTACGCACAACATATCTTGTAGTATAACAACTTAAGTGAGAAAGACATTTTTAATTCAAAGCAAATACCCTCGACGAAACCAAACGGATTTAAAGCATTATATATATATATATATAGTTTCCACGATATGATACTCTACATGTACAACATTTCGGATTTTGGTCAAAAGTGATACTGGCCTAAGATTCTCGACTGCACTACATAACCAAAGGTGGTTTACATTATTGATAGAGGGAGTTGGTATAACGAGGAACGGTTTTTGTACTCTTGAATTAGTCATAGACATCACAATTTATTAAAGGTGTCATTATCGGTACGTACAGGGTCAATATAAGTAACGCATGGCCACTCGTATTGCTAGAAACCATGGTGCAAACCCGATCCAATTTACTTAAGAAATTAAATATTTACAATTATTCACAAACCCTAAGGAAAATTAATAATGCTGTTAGTATAAACAAACTAACGCAAGGAACGATTGGCAAATTAATAAACGACTATGCCGATCGTAAGTGATTGAATATTATGGATCTAAAGTACATAGTAAAATCCGTTACCGAGATGAGAAGAAAATCAATTAAGCAAAAGTTGGTCAAATCTAAACAAACATTGGATATTAATAAAAATCATATATAAATGATTAACACGATCAAATATCTGAACGAAATTAGTAAAAATATTATAACACTATCTATATATAAATATACACCATATGGAAATATTTAAATATTAAACGTTTTAAATTAATTTGACTATCGTCGTTAGAGGTTCACGCGTAACGAAAAAATAAACAATCATTCAATCGTGTTTATTTTTCTGGTAAAAGATTAAACTGTACAAGATTAGAATAAAATAAAAATAAAAATCTATCGATTAACCATAAACTTAATTTTATAAAATTAAATAACCAAAGTTCAACAATTCAATTTTATGGAAGAATTATCATAAGATTAAGTAAAATATGATTTATTTTATTGTCGATTTTTTATAATTTAGCTCGAGTAGATATAATACTGAATAAAAATATTCAAAAACATTTGAATCGGGTATTTAAATTAAAAGTGGAACAATAGAAAAAATATTCTTTTATAAACTATTAAGAATATTTAATTTTAATTTCTTCCTTAGAAATAATATAAAAGAAAAAACTACCCCAGTATAACTAGAAACGAAAATTATTTGATAATACTTTAACTTAAATACAATGCACGTTGCGGGCTATGTAGGGTTATAGCTATTAAAATTTAAATGCATTTCCCAACATTCCATAATGGAATTTGGAACCTAATTTATTTTTCAACGACAAAACACATAGTTATTGAGTCGTTGTCGAATCATGATTGTTAAAAATGTACGGTTCTATTAGCATCCGCTTAATACAACTACTATTTGTCAAAGAAATTTAAGTTTTACAGAAGTTAAAAAGAATCATTAAAATTTAAGATAGATGATTGAACAAACTTTGAAAATCTAATTTCGAAGATTCTAATAGCATAATTCCTCCGCAATGATATGTATTGATGTAATACAATATACATAACAAATTACAATAATTGCATGATCATTAAGAAAAACCAAACGTTTCAGATACCAAAATATAAATCTGCCACCGCAATAGCTACTGATCCATATGTAAATTATGTCATCTTAACTAATACACTAGTATAACTAACAAAATTAATAAATTGCTTTACAAAAATTTAAAAAGATATCATTGAAATTGCCGTTTTATACTACTGTTGGCAATAACTTTGATAACTCCATATTGTAAATAGTAAAATTACATAATTTTAATCTACTACTTTAGTTAGTTTGAAACTTAATCAACCATTTTACCTATCCCGGCTATAATATTATTCTCAAATTTATATCATAAATTTATAATCATAATTATATTATATCATAAGGCAATGTTTTAATTTAAGTCTTTAATTGTTGCTGTAGTTGGATGACTAGAAAAATTAATATAAATATAACACACAATAAGCATTCCATTAGAAAATACAAAAATAAAATAAAATAACAGATATAAAACATAAGTACAATCATGTTCCAAAAATGAAATAATTTACACTTTTCATAAAACTAATTAAACTTATTTGATTCACTTCAAAATAACCACCAATAATAAGTTTTTGAGAATTTTAATACTTAAATATTAATTTAAATCGTTTTAAAGGGAAAGTTGTTCTAATTTTCATAATCGTATAACCAATGTGATATATTATATTTTATAGATTCTCATATAATTGCTATTTGTAAATGAAATATAAAAAAAGGACAAATCGTATGGTTTGATCATATCCATGCAAATTTAAAATCACGACACCAATTCAACTAAGATTAACTTGGCTAGTATGAAATTAATACAGGTCGAGAACCTCTTTAATCTCCTAGCGGGATTTCGGTTCTCTCATAATACAGAATAGAGGAGGGTTACATTCAAAATACGATTTCAGTCTTAATATATAGACTATGATATGTCGACAAATATACACACTAAATTCGGATGCAATATAACAATAATAATAATAATAATAATATACATTTCAATAATACAGCGATATCATAACCGATTGTCGTAAAAACTACGAACCACACCATAATATGTTATCATTGAAAATTAATTTGAGACGAGTCGCACTTTGTATAAATTTACATTATGTTATACGTTTCATATCTTAATATAATAATCGCTTTGCGCACAGAACATATATTAATAGAAAACCACTACTCGACTACCACTACCACT